CCATTGATATCTTGTTTTGTAGGGGTAAGATATCTCTTCAAGATGGAAACTAAACAAATATAAATTCACTTGTCTGCTAGGGTCTTGCCAAGCCTTTTCGAATGGAACATGCAAAATCCTATGAAAACCTGTTTTTTTGAGAATTTTATTCTAAATTATTTCGAGATCGAAATGGCATGGAAAGTGGGTAATTTTGCACCCTCTTTCCAATGGTGTTCTTCAAATTGCCAAAAATCAACGACTGAGCTGTACTGGAAGTGTCACGGAACTTGTTTGCCGCTGGAGATATTTAATGGTTACCTTTTTTCTTGCAAGGACTAACACCATTTCGCTTAGTTGATAACATGTAGAAGCTGGCAGCATATATATACATTATACATGAAACAAGTTCAGATTAACTCAAACGAAAACGAGTTACAACCGATTTCCAAGTGTCACGGAACTTTTTGCCTCCACTGTAGTTTGACATCTGGAGAGATTTCATTGTTAAATACCACAGAACTATTTTATAAATAATGTCAATAAGTCCTGAATTAGATATAAAACAGTAGAACCTGATTTAAAACATTTCTCTCCTCCACTGAAAGTCCGTAAGAGTAGATATTTGCAGGTGCGTTTACAGCAACTTTAAAAAATTGTGAAATTCGAAAATTCGAAAGACATTTTTGTAAACCTCATGAGCTATTGATTGATCGGTAAAAAGTATTTAGTTTTCTCAGTTCGTTTTCAAAATGGGAATCTTATAAAATCGATAGCTTTGAAAATGTTGAATTTTTCAAAGGCATTTCTCATTCCCTACGTACAAAAGAAATATTGGGAGTGTATTGTGTATTTTATATTAACGTACATTGTCTACTTGTGAATCGATTATGTTTGTAAAGTATCGCAATAGCTTGACGATTAACAGATGGTACAGCCCAAGATGAATCCTCAATCCTGATTGAGAAGATAGAAGAAAATAGAGAACAACGCGAATATATTTTTTTTGTAAACCTTATCGTAACTCTTCACAGTATCTGCTACACAAATTGTCGGTTAAGAAATCGTAATATCTAATTTACAAGATATCGATTAGAATAAGTCTGTTTAGTTATTGAATAAATATTTTTATGCAAATTATGTAAAATGTAAATTTTTTTTCTAGAAAATTCCTCTACATCAATAGATCGAAATCAGATACGTGAAAAAGCACTTGCTCATCTCATTTCAATGACTGTACAACTCAAATATCTTCGTGTTGAACAATTCGAATGGCTACTACATGTTGTTGAATACGTAAGAATTTTTCGTGCTTTATATAGGCTTGTTCTAAGTTCTTGAATATATTGTCTCTGGTGCGTAATTCATTTGAATACATATCTAAGTTAAATGATTTGATTATCAAATTTTATAAGATGATCAGTTTAAAATCTACCAAACAGATCGTTATTTCTTCTAGTCTAATTATAATCTTCTCATAATTTCTTACAATTTTACCGTAAGTTTATGTACAATTTCATTTGAGCTTATTATATCATATGTCTGATATTTTTTACCTGAGTAAATACACGATCAAAATAAAGTGATTCAATCGTTAGAAAAAAAAATTGTTAGCGAAATCTCTCCTACGCAATTCAAATGTGAAATACGATCTAACTGTCATTAGTAATGACAAAGGACTATGAACACACTTTAATCGTAGTTTATGAAGCCCTTCAATGAAATTTTTATATACTCTATACTTTGTTTCATTCAGGATTCAAAGAATATAATAATATATTATTGTTCCTGAGTTTCAGTATGAGCGTATAGTTATTGCTTTCCGTTAATCATTCAAAGTAAGAAAATAGACTTCTTGATGCCATCTCTGTCTTCTATCTGTCACGATCTGTGGTGTAGAGACATTGCTAAGGTGTTTGTCACGATCTGTGGTGGGAATGAAATATTGCCACGATAGTCATGATGGTAAGTTAGTCATGTGCATCACGCTCTGTCATGATTTTCATAGTATTGTCTGTCCTGGTCTGTGATGTTTCCATGGTAATGTCGGTCACGGTCTATGGGGAAGGGGATGGATCTAATCCTTATTTTTCAACACTCTTTTCAGATTGCGTTTCAAAAAAACCAGTACTTCGTTATGTTATAATATAGGGGCAACAGTAAAGACTTCGACCTTGAAGTCTCATGGAGTCTTGGAAGTCTCTTGAAGTCTGATGAAGTCTTTTAGGAACGTTAAGCTATAGCTTATAAGGTCCCCCTCAAAAATCGATTTCAGGGTCAAGTACATTCAAATCGCGTGAAATTTTCAGGACATGTTGAGACTGAAGTGGGGGGGGGGGAGGGGGCTGCAGTAAAATTTTCAGCCCTATACCATGACATTTGACGGAGATATGAACCAAACAACGGTCAAAAATAGCTCATTTGGCAAGCCATTTTTTTCTATTCGGATTCTTTCAATATATTCAAATTTTCTTTTGTTCGAAAGAGCATGTCAGAATGCAGTGCAGTACAGAGTCTTTTTTTTAAATTCGTACTTTTTAAGCGGAAAACGGGATCACAAGGTTCAATGACTTGAAAGACCTGCTAAAAATGGACGCCAATTTACATAAGTGACTGTTTATATAATAAAAATCAAGCTTAATTAAAAAAAGGACTCTGTATTGCACTGCATTTTGACTTACTCTTTCAAACAAAAAAAAATAATATAAATATATTAAATGAGCCTGGACGGAGCAATTTGAATTGCGCGGTCAAGAAAACATAAACTGAGAAAAAGCGCAAAACATTTTTCATTTTTTTCAAAATAAGCATGTGTTTCAATAAAACATCAACGAAAATCACCAAACATTTTGTCTCAAAAAGGAGTGTTGATTTATAATTCATATTGTTTTTGACAGAGCAGAAATCTGGCTACCTTTCCATGCATTGAACTCAGGTTCGAAATTTTTGACGAAAACTGACATTTTAGAGGATGTCCTTAACATAAAATGAAGTCCCATGAAGTCTCGTGAAGCCTTCTGAAGTATCTGTGCTTGAAGTCTCATGAAGTCTTTTGAAGTCCGCTGTTTCCTCCTTGATTATAATAAATAAATATTCGTTTAATAGACAATAATAAGATTAATAATAAATCCGTTTGTTTGAAAATCAAACAAGTGATTGATGTAGTAAATCAAAGATTGTATCGATGCTGATGGAATTGACGTAGAAATTCTTTTAACATGAAGAAAAGCACATTGTTTTCTTTATCTACACATGTAGAAAAAGGATTGTAAAAGATCAATGTGAACAAGAAAAGAATAATATGAACAAATCAAGTCTAGTTTTTCTCATCGTTTTGACATAAAATAGACAGATAATTCAGAAGTATCTTTTGCTTTTTTTTCTTCTAATGAATTTGTTCACTTTTTTGTTTTGATCTAAAGATTTCAGTTTAATTATCTCGAAGCAACGAAAAACTAATCAAAGTCCACATGTGTATATTCAAGTATTTTTTTTTGAGATGTATGTAAAAAATAAATTTTACTCAATATGAGAAAAAACGAAAGAAAATCCAAACTTTCATTATGTATGTCAACAAACTAAGAAAGAAGCAAAGCTTAGACTTGTTTGCTCGAATGAATACCAAGTAGAAAAGACATTTGATGACTGCACGACATTGCTTTTCAAACGATTAGTCGTCATATTGAAAATCTTTCTAGATACGTAAGACACTCTCGCTAGAAATTATTTCTATCAGAAAAGAAAATAATTACAATTAACATATTAGATATGAATGATCACTCGAAGATTAAGTCATGCAGCGCCATACAAGGGAATTATTAGGCACTACTTGTCGTTTTTGACATTTCTATATATTTTCGAACTGCTTATCAATTTGAAAAAAAATCGGATTTCAGATATCCAATTGTCACATTCTTATGTTGTCATCAATCTGTTTTTTGATTCAAAACGATGCTCAGGTGTTGAGAGCAAGTGTCTGTCTGACTTAAATCGTGGCTCATGTGCATTGAATAGGGAAGATGAAGAAGAATTTGTCATAGGAATTTAATGATTAAAAACAGAATTAGTGAACTGATGCGTTTCATCTAGTCAATTGAATCATTCATTGATTCGTTATTGTTGTATTTGTCTTTAGAATTTTTGTGATATTTTCAATTTCGAGAAATTCAGTTCCTCATTATCAATACATATGCATATATCTACATTAGAGGATTATATATCGGATCTTTGTTATATTTGGGTAAACGAAGAATAGTAATATCATGTGTTTAATTAACTTATATTACTAGTAGAAAAATCTTATTCTTGACATCGTACTAATCATTGGTAGTCCCACCTTTTGTCGAAAGGAAAAAATGTCGAAAAAAAAATTATACAAATGTCGAATGTAAAAATATCGAAAGGCTAATATGTCGACCTGGAAAAATGTCGATAAGCAAACTGTAGAAAATTAGGAATCCTTTTAGATCCGGAATGGAAGACTTTTTCAAAGTTTTGATGAATAGCATATGATACAATATGCATGCATACTAGAGAGTATGATAGTGGCATTTTTTGGCCTCGGTCTCGGTCCCGAAACAATAAGCAATTTTTTGGAAAATTCTGTCTCGCGATTTGATTGTATTTTGCTGTTTTGAATAAATTGAAATGCTAATTATATTTTCCTATGGTTATTTTCATCTTGACGTCATGAAAAGCATACTTTGCGAACAAGATCGAAAAGTCTACATGCATCAAAACAATTTTTTTTTTCGGAACCAACATTTTCTTGAGACGGTTCCTGTAATGTTTAAAAATTTGGTCCCAGTGATCTCTAATGCACACATCACAATAGTGAAAGTGAAAACGGGATCTGTGCCCAAATGGAAGTTGGATTTTCGACATTTTGACTTTCGACCAAAGTTGAGAGAATCACGTTCATCGAAGGAAAGAGAATGTGAGAAGGACAGTGAGGACAAGAAAGAAGAAATGATGTCATATGACCGAATCGAGAGAAAAGGTCATAACAGAAACATCTTTATTCGCCATTTTTTAAGCACTTTCTTTCATTATTTTCCTTTTGCCATTCCGCAAAGTTCAAGTTTTTAAACATTTTGATATTTCGACATTTTTATTTCCGACGTTTTATCTTTCAACATATTTTCTTCTCGATATTTTTACTTTCGACATTTTTATCTTCGACATTCTTACATTCGACATTAGCTGGATGAATCTAAATATTATCTCAAGCTCACCGAAATGCATGATACTAGAGTCGAGTTGAGACTTATTTCAAGTACAAGTTACTTTTCTTTATAATATCAACTTATATGTATTAGTAGATAATATCATTGAACTCATTAGTTAAAATAAGAACTTGAAGAGCAACAGCTTCAAAAAGAAGAAAAAAAATACTCGTAACGTATTTATCACGGCCAAAAATATTGATTGTCTAGTTTGTATTTGAGATAAAAATGCCCGTTTTCAAATGAAATACGCATACTAAATTAAGTATTCTTTGCGTCGTCTATTTTCTACAGGAAATAACAGTATTTGAAAACAAATGAACAAGTAAATTGAATAATTTTGTTTTTTTATAGTTATAACAAGTATTATCTCAAATTTCTGGAGCGATAAAAAAGAAAATGTTAATGAAAGTCTACAGTAAAAAACTACTAAAAATTCGAGAAGTAAAATTACCTGAATAATCGAGACAGATGAATCTAATTAGACAATGTTATTTCTTGATTATTAGAATCGCATCGTTATTCTAACATTGGCTAAATACTTTAGCGATGTGAATGAAGAATGATTATCATTAATATCGCTGTTTCTTTATATTTGTCACTATCAAACATTATTGATAAGATAGAACAAACAAAATATCCCAGTCCGACAAGCGTTAAAAAACGCCTTTTTTTTAGCGCTTGTCTGACTGGAATTTAATACTTATTCTACCAAATGAATTGTTGTTTTACACACACTCTTTCTTCCTATCATTTTAATATATTTGCTTTGATTTGATGAATCAATTTAAATAGCTGAGTAGATTTAACATCTTGTAATCAAGATCTTGACCAAGATACAAGGTAAAGATCTTGAAAATTCGGTATAAAATAGGCACGTTATTTTGTACCAAGATTTGGAAATAGATCTTCGCTACAGATTTTTAAGATCTTGGCTGATACACACTTCAACAAAAATGGTTACTAGAATTCATATATAGATAGCTTGAAATATTTCTTAAATAATCTATCCGATACAAAATTTGATGTTGAATGTGATTCTCAAGTCAAATTTCTGCTATAAGTGTAAGGAGTCAAGTTAGAGACGGACGTTTATCTTCGAATATATTCAAAATCATGCTCCTCATAAGCACGTCTGAATAGAGATCACGTTTCTTTTTTAATAATTCAGCACGATCTAATTTGAAATAATGAAAAATAATCTTTGTTAATGTTGTCAAGTGAAGATCTTGGCAATGAACGTCACCTTCATATATGTTAATCGCATCAGATATATCTATATCCAAGATCTAATTACAAATTCTAGTACAAAGTAATTACATTATCCTATAGCTTAATTCACTAAGATCCATTCACTTTTCTATAGCTCATATTTTGGCCAAGATCTTACAAGATGTTCATCTAGGATTTTTTGCTTTTATTATTATTTTTTCTCTTTAGACATCTGATATACTAAGAACGAATGCATTAAGTACTATTCAATATGTTGAATTTTGTTTTCCAAGTATCCATTATGATGATAATATACAAATTTGTGATGGCAAACATCTTGTACCTTTTCTTAGCAAATATATGCCTCATTTACAAACATTACGCCTTTGGCGACCAGATGATTTTCCTTGGACATCAAGTAAGTTTATTTTAAACAAAAACATTCTTAACTAATCTACAATGAATATTATTCTTATTGAATTTCATTTTACTCTTTATTAATCAAATAGATATTTTTCTAATGATGCATAGTTAAACTTAAATGAACATTCATTTTTTTTTCTTCTTTGTATCATTTGTGTTCAAGTCTTGTCATCTAGTTTCACTAAAGAAGATTGATAATTATGTATAATAGATTCGATAATTGAGAAATGAGATTTAATAAGTTGAAAACTTTTAGTTTTACTTTGAATCTTTTGAAATTTCAAACAATGATTGGAGTTTTTGGTTGGATTAATGTTCTCTTTTTATGTAAAGGAACTTGACAAAATACTTGAATTTTATTCACTTAACTATCTTTAATATTGATTTTGTATTTACAAAGAAAAATAGAAAATGAAGTCAAGTTTTATTTTAGTATATTAATCTATTATCCATTTTTAAAAACAAAGTCGCTGCAGGAGAATGTTTATAACTTTTGAAGGAGAGCTGATAGAAACCTGCGGTTTTTGTCATTAGATAAAGCATGTTGGGGTACGTAATACAATGGAATAATCAAGCCTTCAAACAAGATATTCCATGATAAATCTTTAAATGCAAACTCTACGACGTTGAAATTCCTTAGGATATGATGGATTTTGATTTCTAAACAATGAAATCAATAGTCCCAATCAAGATCTATAATTCTAGACTATTTCTAGGTCTTTATCGCTTACAATTCGAGTTATAAGTGCTTTTCGCAAAGATATTTGCTTATATTAGAATACAAACAAAAATTTCTAAAACATTTGACATGGACATTTTTATATATGCTGAGATACGTGTGCTGGTGCTTAGTTGAAGTTTGGACGACGTTTATGACCGGATAGGAGTCGATACCTTTACGAAGAATACATATAACTCCTGAACTGTAAAAGATACAGATCTAAGGTTGGTCTAAAATTATAAATCTCGATCCAGACTATTCGTTTCACTATTTGGAAATCAGAATCGGCCATACACTCAGGAAATGGTAATCTCGCCAACTTTGTATTCGAGGATTTACCATAATAAACCTGACTTGAAAGCTGAATTATGTCAGTAATATGTACCCTACTGTGCTCTATCTAACAATGAAAACTGCAGGTCTCTATAATTTTTCCCTGAAAAGATATCAGCATTCTTCCGGAGCGACTTTTTTAAAAATGAATAATAACTCATAATATTTTTTTCCAATCTTCTCATCAAAAAATGAAATTATTCAGAGTAAATAACAAAAGTAAAAGTACAAATTCTGTCCACAGCATATTTTTTTCCTTTATAGAATACAGAATTGAGCAAATGCTAAAAACGATTTTTAAAAAAATAGTTTCTGTTTTTTTTTTCAAAGATCTATTTCGAATAATGAGATCATGTTTAAAAAAAATATACACAAGAAAATTCACGTTACATTCGACTCTTTTCCAAAGACAAATCTTCAACAAAATTTGTTAATTTGAAAGTTGTGATTCGCCGGAAATTTTCTAAGGATGGAGTCCAATTTGTTATATGTGGATGGAAAGGGAAGAAGGCACATCAGCAGAAAAATTTTTTTCATAAAAACTTTCTTATCTGTACTGTCTTTAGGTATTTTTTTTTGGCCAGGAGAGATGTACAAGCGCTCAGTACATCCATGTCTCAAATTCGAAAATAACAAAATGATTCTTTTTCTGAAAAAGAAGCGTATATAAAAAAGAGAGCAGTGTTGTATCCAAGATTTTTTAATATGTTAAATCTTAGCTTTAGAGCACGAGACTTAAATGAAACTTATGTAGAGTAATATTGAACCTAAATGGAAAAAAAAGTTTTTTTTTCGTCAACTTCAATCACAAAAATGTTTTTTTTTTGAAAGCTCATCATTTAGGTCCAATATCACCCTCAATAAGTTTCATTTAGATCGCATGATCTAAAGCTGAGATTTAACATATACAAAAATCCTGGATAAAACACTGAGAGAGAGAGATCTTTTAAATTGACCTATTCTATTCAATAAACTATTTTCGATCAAATCCTTCTTCTATTTCACGAGTTCATATTATCTCATTGTTTTTTTTCTTTATTCAAGTTCGACCGGACTATTATGGAGAAAGGAGAAGCAACAGGTATGGGTATTTCATGCTACGATGGCTCAGGTCTCTGAAAAAACACAAATCGATCGGTATATTTACATAGAAATACAATAATTTCTACGAGAAACTAACCAAATAAAATAATTCTATTTTTTTCAGCACAACATGCAGCTATTTTTGAACAAGATCTTTGTCAGCTGGTCGAAGCATTAAAGGAATTTACCTTTCTGGATATTTATGGCGAAATTCATTATGAAAAAGTTGAACCTTATCGATTAATGACTCAAACTCGCTTTCCTAATAGTCAAATAAATGTTGAAGTATCAAGATTTTGTCTTTGGCTTTAATTATCTGTTTGTTATATGCAACAGATGGACGTTAACAAGACAATTCTTATAACTAACTATTTGTCTTCCTTTAATGTGATAAACGGTCAAATACGTGCTTGTGTTCAATAATGATTTGTTGACGGTACTGTCTAAATAATATCTTTTTTGAAGAATTCATTATAAAAGAAACGAAATATTAACTTATGATCTATATACATGTGCCATATAATATTTAGTAATTTTTCCTAGTTTGTAATGTTTAAAACCATCATCAAGGCAGACAAAGAATGAAGAAGAAATTATACTTTAAAGTATTAAAATACCTATCTTTCTGAAAAAGAACAGTTTAAAAGGTGTGAGATGATTCTCAGTGGTATACATAGAAGTGTTTGTCGAGAAAAACAACACCTTTCGAGTATACCGTATTTTTCAACTGGAAGGAGAAGCATTTGCTAAGGCTAAAAAAAGTAGGGTGTCGGTGGGGTGTGGGGTGTGGGTGGGTGTGGGTGTGGGGTGCGGGTGTTGGTCTGGATGTGAGTATACTGTTCTGCTACACCCATACCCAGACCCACACCCACACCCACCCACACCCACCCACGCTGATTGTAGACACCAACCCGACATGAATTTAATGTAATAGAAGAGAGTTATATATCAAACACTACCTTTATCTTGATTTTCTCATACAGTATTGGCCAAAAGTACCGCCCCCCCCCCCCTGAAGTGCTTCAATATTCCAAGCTGTTGATTTGAAATTTTGGTTGCATGTGTCTAGTGAGAAATGCTGATCATAGACCGACCCGACATCAATTCAATGTAATAAGATAGAGTTATATATCAAACACTATCTTTACCTTGGATCGCTGATATCTCAACCAAAAAAAAATGATACTTTTCTATCGCTGAACGGTTTAAAGGACATTTTTCTAGTGATAAATATAGCTCCTAATGTGTACATTACCAGATAGCAAGGACAATTGAATTCAGTGAGATATAAGTGATTGGCGAAGTATACGGTGGCAACAAAGTTACATCATCGTATCGTCAGTTTAGTACATGTTGTATTTCTGAAACTTTCTGGAAACATTTATGGAACTCTGAATATACTAAGAAAAAATTTTCAAGTGAATCAATTAATCTAAAGATGATTTTCATATTGGCGAACTGAAAATCATCATAACTAAGATTCCATCGGCACCTCTTGAGAGAGTGATATCTCAGCATTTTGAAAGACTTTTCTGGTGAAAATTTTATTGGATAAAGCTGAAGAATCAGGCTTTCGAATGATGGGTTCTGTGGCTTCCAAAGTGGTTGTATGACTTAGATATGAGTAATAGAAAGTAACGATAGTGTTTGATATATAACTCTCTTCTATTACATTAAATTAATGTTGGGTTGGTGTCTACAATCAGCATTTTTCACTAGACACATGCAGCCAAAATTTCAAGTCAACAACTTGAAATATTGAAGCACTTCAGGGGGGGGAGGGGTCAGGGACTTATGGCCAGCACTGTATATATCTGTAATACAGATATATATAGATTCCTGACTCAGGAATCTAATTAGTTGTTTTCAATTTAGAATAGACTCAAAATTCGTTTTAAGATCTTCTCTAAGAAGTTAAGCATAAAGCTAAAATGCTTCAGCGAAAACTCACAACTTATGTCAAAAAACATGCACCTGAAGAAACACATGACACATTTGTCTTTATTTGGGTTCGATTCTCGAACGACGAATTTTCAATCGACTTTACTGAAAAATAGAAGTATTCACAAATAAGCTTAGCCATTAAAGACAAAGAAGAAAAATCTTTTGGAAGCTTGTAGTTTAACTAACTCCATTTTCCTATACAGCTATTTTTCTCTTATAATGAAGGAGTAATATTTCAAGTTGTTTGACTGCAGCGCCCAACGTTTAGTCTAATGTTTTTTTCAAGTAAGGTTTCTACGTTTGTTTCGTTTCGAAATCAATATAATGGTACAAGAAACAAATATTTGTGTCTATCCGAACCTACGATACCAGAATCTAGGATAGACTTCAGTCTACCTAAACCTTGTGACTCCATCATCTATAAACAAGTGTTCCATCATAAATGCCAAAACACATCTAGCTGATATTTTCTACTGAAAAGACACTACTTCTTTTAGAAAATATTTATTTCGATGTACTTCTATATGTATGATAGAACATCCACCTTTATTTCGTATCCAGAGTTGAACTGTTCTATTGTGTGAAGCTAAAATAACAAAGAAAAGTTTTTTTTATAAAATATAATAACATTCTACTCAATCTTTACTTATCAATATTTCACTTGACAAAGCATGATCATTAATGAATGTCAAATGAGAGATTGAAAAGGTCATAAATCTTACATAGGCATGTAAGCCATTGCGGATGACTTCATTCGTTTGAACCTCTACACAAATATCAATATTATTATATGTAGTGATATATTCATCAACTGAAACTCTTTCTTCAAGTTGAATTGTTCTTTTGAAAACAATTATGGATAAAATGTTCGAGATGATTAGATATTATTTTTTATTTTGTTAAATACGAAAGAAAATAGTCCAATATTTAGAAAAATAGTTTTTAACATTTGATTTCTTGTGTCTTCTCTCTAAGATAACGTAATTCATCTTCATTTAATCGTTTTGTATTTTCAAGTTTATTTTTCACTTCTGTATGATACCAATTAAGCCAATTTTTTTGAGTTTCTGTTAACATTTTACAAATAATTAAATTAGGTTCAAAAGGAACTAATGTTAACATTTCAAAATGAAGAAATTGTGTTGTTGAATTACTATAATTATTTGGTAATGTATAATTTTTTACAATAATATCTGTTTCAAGTCGAATACCAAATTGTCCTGGTAAATAAAAACCAGGTTCATCTGAAAATACCATACCATCTGTTAATGGTATATCACTTGAACTATAACCCATAGAAATAAATGATGGACCTTCATGAACAGATAAATAATGACCAATACCATGACCAGTACCATGATTATAATTCATAGAATTTTTAAAAAGATATTGTCGAGTTAATATATCAATACTTCGACCATAGGTACCAAATGGATACACAGCATCAGCTAAATCAATTGAACCTGTCAAAAATAAATTTGTTTTTCTTTTTCTTGATTTTATAGAATTAATAAAAATATATTTTTACCTTGAAGAACAAGTGTATATGCTTTCTTTTGTTCTTCTGTTGGCGTACCAAAGACATGTGTACGTGTAACATCTGTTGTACAATCAAGATATTGTGCACCAGCATCAAGTAAATATAATCCATTTTTAGTAATTGTTGCAGCAGTTTGTGGTTTTGGACTATAATGAATAATTGCAGCATTAGAACCAAATGCTGATATAGAATCAAAACTCAGCGTTTGAAATAAATCTTCTTCATTTTGAAAATGTTCAAGTTGTTCCGCTGCTCTTGTTTCATTAATAAATATATTATTATTAATTTGATTTTCAAGCCAAGCTAAATGACGTACACGTGCTACACCATCACGAATACCACAATCACGCATGCCTTTTTCTTCAATTGGATTTTTAATTGCTTTTGTAAATTCAACTGGTGAACCTAGATAAGATTTTTAGTTTTGTTTTTTATTTCATATGGATAATAAAATTTACTTGAAATTAAACGTTTTTCGACAGGAATTCGACTAAAAATAGCTTGAGATGCAGATGATGAAATCCAAATTTGAGAAATATCATTTTGATTAGCTAATATATTAAGATCAGAAAGAAAAGAATTATACGAACGAATATTGACTTTATTTAATTGAGTAAGAGCAGCTGAAGTTAATTGACCTTGATTCATCCAAAGTTGTGTTGTTTGATTAGCGTATACGATTGCATAAGCCTAAATCGAACATTTTAATGTTTTTTTTTTAAATAATTATTTAAAGAAACATTAAATGTTATACTTTAAAAAATGGATTATATGGAATATCAGAACCACGTAAACTAAATAACCAAGCAATTTCATCAAGGGCTGTAACAACATAAGCATTTGCTTTTTTTGTTTGTACATGTTCAGCAATAATTTTCACTTTGTCTTCCCAGCTGATACCTGTATATTTTAATTCATGGATGTTAACCGCATTGAATGTAGGTGATGGTCTCTCAGGTGGTTGCCAAATTAAATCAATTAATTCAACGACTTCAACTAATGAAGCATTGTTTACATTGAGAACACTATTAACCGATGACCACCAATCAGATGAAACAAATTGAGCTGCTACACCAACTCGATTATAAGGTCGTGTACTATTGACTTGACTTGATAGCCAATTAGTAATTGAAGGTACATCTGTTTGACCTTGACGCATCAGGTACCAATTTTTACAGTCAAGTTCGTCTTCTGCTTGTGTCCAATATCGACCATCAGTCCATAAAGCAGCATTATTTAATGTAACAACAGCAGTACCAGCTGAACCCAAAAAACCACTTATCCATGCTCGTCGTTCATCATATAATTGAACATATTCACTTTGATGTTCATCTTCTGAAAAGATGACATAAGCAAATAAACTATTACTTATAAGATGAGTACGTAAACGTTGTAATCGATTTGTTGTATCGGCTTGACTTGGTCGTATCTCACAATTAAAATTTGTTTGTTGACATGGCACAAATCGAAAACTATTGAGGAAAAGAATAAGACAAATTGTAATAGCATTTATCATCATTTTTTCTGTGTGCCCTTCAATCTATTGAGAAACGAATAATGATAACATTATTACTTTTTTTTGTTGGCTTTTTTTCTCTTTTTTTTTTCTTTATTATATTGGATGAGTGTCGAAAGAAAGACAAAGGACTTACACGAATGATAAAACAAAAATAAAACAAAAAGATTATCAGTAAAGACATAAAATTTTATGGATTCACAAATTTTGTCATTATTTTGTTTGATAATAGATCAGCGCTCTTTTATTTGATAACAAATGTTCGATCTTGGAATTTTTATTCTTTATTATTTTTTTTTCGTTCTTAGTTAATTATGCGATCTAAAAAAGTAAATATTCCAGATATTGAAGAATATCAAGAATTATTACAAGCATTAGAACTTGATGGTAAACATATTGAAAATCTAACTAAAGAAACTATTGAAAAAATTGATCAAATGCTTGATGATGATTTATTTAATCAAACAAATCTTAATCTTATTCAAACACTTGCACGTGAAAGTGTTGTTAATATTCCAGTACTAGTCGATAATAAAATAAATGATGAGAATTTTTCTAATAAATCTCATTTAGTTATTAAATCTAATGAACGATTAGAAATACTTATTGAACGTGTTAAATATGAAACATTTTTATTCAATGAAAATGCTGAAAAAATTCGTAGTTTAATTGATCTTAATGTAATGTATAAAAATGATATTGATTATAAAACACAATATTTATGGAAAAATGAAATTGTTCAAATGCAAGGACAAATTTCTTCAAATCAAATGGATATTTTAACATATTATAGAAATCGAAGTGAAATTGGTATAAATATACTTAAACAACCACGTATTAGTGATTATTGGGAACAATTAATTGAAATTGATGAAGATTTTTTCTTTAAACTTAGAATAATACTTTATAATTTAAGATTATTCAATCTTCGATTGTATAATATTGTATATCGTTGGATGTATTCTTCTAATAAGATTATATAAATCAATGATCTATTGTAGAATTAGCAATGAAATTTAATTTTCTCAATTTCATTAAATCTTGCTTTGATTTTCTGTATGAGTTGTTATAGATATTAAATCAAATTTAAATTTCTTTGTTTGATTGGTATCAAAAAATGTTACAGTACATATTCTTTGTATTATTCTATCGATTATAACAAGCATTGGATAAGATTCGTAAATAAGTATCATAATTGACTGATGCATAGTCAAAATTTGTGTATCAAATATTTATCTTTTTTTACGAAGTATTTACAATCAAATAACAGATAAAATTCTAAAATGTTGCTTATTTAACTATTATCTCACGTGAATGTAAAAATTGATCCAATACTTTTTTTACATATTCATGTTCAGGCACTAATCTTTTTTTCCTTTTGTCAGTAAAATTTACATTCGTTACATCATAACTTATATGCCATAATTGCATTATATATTCAAATGTGTAATTTCCATCATACATGTACGTTCGGTTAGGTTTTTCGAAATATGTGGAAGAATAAATCTATAAAATTTAGAAATTACACATTTGTTCAAAGTGATATATTTTCAAAAGAATTTTTTCAATGCTTTATATTTTGAAAATATTCTAGAGAACATTCTAAAACTAAACATAAGGCATTTGATTTATCGTAGTTTGTTATTTTTCCATGACTTTATATTCGTCTAATAAATTACTTTTAAAGAATAAAGAGGCTTGCTCATATATAATGATCATTAAAGTACTTACTCATATGACTTTATATTCGCATAAAAAAAAGAGAAAAACGAACAGGAATAACAGTCATCATTTACGCTTTTGTCTTGTTATACTTTTTCTTTTAATTATTCATTTATTGGCATTTAATTCAATATGAAACAAGCACTTCGACAACAAGGTTCTCAATCTATCGATAATTCTATTGGCAACGAAAAGTATGTTTAGAAGTTTGTAAACATTTTTATTAGACTTTTCTTTTTATTATAGACCGAACAAAACGGGTCAAACGCCAATAAATACTTGTTCAAAAAAGCGGTACTGATGTTAACGATGTTGTACTAGCAGAAGACTGTAGATCCACTGTAATATGCTGTAGAGCGGCAAAATCAGTTACAAACGAATAAAATTAATATGATAGACTCTTGTCGATGCTTTTCATGTCTTGTAAATGTTTATCTAACCAATCGTACATTACACAAAAACTTTATAATATGCTTGAACTACTATCTTCTAATGATTAGTAAACAAACAAACATTTTTTTTTGTTTACTCAAAATAAAACGAAACAAAAAAAATTATCTAAAATCACTTATTTTGTCTTGATCATTTGTTTATTCGTTCCTTGTTGATGAGTAATGTTTAACATTTTTTATCTACGAAAATGAAAGAATCAAAAAAATCTATTTCTTTCATAATAGAAACAATACTTTTGTTAATTGTTTGTTCTGCTTATGTAAATCATCTTGAAAAAAAATCATGAATCATAATTAAATTCACGAATATATGCATGCGTTAATCACATATTTCGTTTGTATTAAAGTTATTTATTGTTATAATCTCGCAGTTAACTTAATTGAATATTAAGAGTTATTTCATGTATAGCTTTCTATTGTAATGTCCTCTTTTGTATCAGGTGTTGCTCTCTAGTTTCATCTCACACAAAAATAGCAGGATTTTTTACACAAAAAACTTAATGAATGGCTTCAATAGGGTACGGGTGTGGTAAAGACCGACATTCACACATTTCCAGATCAGAAGAAAACTACAGAGAAGTATTCAACTGGTATAAACAGTCATTCTGCATAATGGGTGTTCATTTAACTAAAGTCGCATCCTTTCCTTACCAAGTTTTTGACGAAATATTAACAAAGCAAGTGATACTAATTCATCTCAGACGTATTTGTTATTGGTCGAGCATGATATCAATTTTCACATCGAACATCGATGAAATATTTTTCAAGGACATGTGATGATGAAATATTGATATCACGATCGAAAGTGTATCCGAGGATTGTTAGAAATATTTCGTGTGACTTACTTTGATTTTATCCTAATATGACTTTTTTGACCTTTATGTTTTCCCTCCCCAGGACTACTAAAGAAAACAGAAAAAAATGCATACTGTCAATAAATTGATTAAGTAGTAGTTTTTCGTATTACAACTCTTTTTTTCATATAAGAAGTATACTAAAATATTGAATTTATTTTTGAAAATATAAAATGTTTATTTAGACAAAATTATTTTCTCTACCTATTCTACATAAAATCAATTGTAAAAGACTTATATATTATTACAATGTCGCAAAAAAAAAAATAATTTTAAAAATGATTTGTTCGACTTTTAATCGGACTTCATACCACTCTGATGATGTGCTAGTGTCAAGGAACTCTATACACAGTCCAAGACAGTTTTCTATGTCTAAACCGAATATGAATTCAAATTAGCAAAAAAACCCGATATATATCAGGTTTCTAGAGACTTCGTGAAAAGTTGACCCAGAATCTTACAGAACTTAAGCTCTTCAATAACATCATCATATTCAGCATATCTTAAAATCCATTTCTCCAATTTTTCAAAGCCTTAACTTGACCTCAATAATAGCTATTCACAGTGATCTAATGAGTCGACAAAGACAGTTAGTTTTTTCCTAGATGGACGCAACTAATATATTGCATAAGAGAGTTGACTAAAAACTATGAAAAATTCTAGAAATATATCTTAAGATATGTTGAATAGGTTGGCGTTATCAAACAACTCAGATTCTTTTCAGATATTGGGATCAATTTTTCAAGAAGTCTCTAGAAACCTAATATGCGTGTTTTTTTTGTTGACTTGTATTCATATTTGAATAAGGCATAAAAAACTGCACCGGTCTGTAAATTTGGCTCATCGACCTTAGATCATCATTCCAATAGTATAAATGTATGATAAAAAAATCAAACAACTCGTTTTGTGAAAAACCACTTTTACGTTTTTTTTTCGACATTGTAATCACGTATGAAATTTTTACAGTTGATTTCATTTCGAACGGATAGAGCAAATAATTTTATCTCAATACATACTTCATATTTTCGAAAATAAGGTAAATATTGAAGTGTATCTCATATATAAAAAACAGCTTGTGAGACGAAAAACTACTATGTGACCAATTTATTAGTAGTATACGTTTTTTCTCTATTGAAACCCAACAAAAAATAAATATTTTGGTAGTCCTGGGCGGGAAAGAAGAACACAGGGATCAAAAAAGGCATATTAAAATAGAGCAAAATTAAGTCACAGAAAATATGTCTAACAACTCTCGGGTATACTTCCGATCAAAAAACACAATATCGTGGGCAAACAAAACAACCTCATCTAAAATGTTCTTTACAATTAACTATACCAATTCTTTTGTATAGAAATTGATATGAGACAATAGTTATTCGATTGAAAAGCTACTTAAAAATGTTTTAAAAGTATCATCGTCTAAATGAACAAACGATGTATGCCAAGTAGACAAAGTTAGACAATATAAACTAATTAATTATTCGAATATACGTACATTCATCCTGTATGATATATATTGATTAGTAAATTCATCAAAGTATTGATCAAAATTCTTGAATAGATTGTATTTTATGTATATTTAATCGCTTCATCTCTTTTAACAGAAGAAGTTTATATTAATTCAGCCCATTATAGTATCAAAATTACGTCAAACATTACGGTTGCGCATTGAGCGAAAAAAAATTACCATAGGTAACTTTTTTTTTTGAATTGAATATTTTACTGAATTTTCAAATTATTTTTTCATAGTTTATTATATTCATGCATCAACAATCGAGTTCTAGAGAAAATCTTACAAAACGATTCTCATATTTTTAATTGCAATCGCGTAGGTTATTTTTTTCATTAGTAATCGTTTTTTAATCATAAAAAATAGTAGATGAAAAGTAAAAAAATGAAGGACACAATGATTAAATCGTAACATTCATTTTTATGTATGAATAGACCTTCATTTATTTATAGAAGAAAAAAAAGTGCGAAAAACAACATTATTTTTTTCTTTAGCGCACTTATATTCGTCGTATCTTTCGTTCTAGTCATTCATTTTTGCATCTATCTCAATATGGACGAGGTAAATCAACAACAGGGTAAAAAGAATACCAACGATACTAACCAAAACGATCAGTAAGTTTTGTATTCGTATAAATTTTTATCACTTTTTTTTCTTCAGAAGTACGGAGGCAACGAATAAATCAAACGATGCTTCCGGATCAAATAATAATTCTAGTGACAAAAATCCACCACCAAAATCAGGTCCGCAAAAACCTCAACATGCCGCTAAATCAGTGACATATGAATAAATCGACAAAACCGATTGGCAACTTTATTAAACAATTTTTAAACTAATTGGCTAATACACATTATATTTCTTCAAGCATGCTTTGTAGTGCATTTCATTATTGATTTTTATTTTCTTCGTGTAGATTAAAACCTTTTCATGCATCAATGTTTTAGAAAAAAAATGCAGCTCTCATAATAAATTATTCTACATGCAAATGAAAGACATAATATCTAACTTATATTATATTGGTCACATTTAATACTAGTTCGATATGATTTATGATTAATGGATTGTATTATAATTTTTGTCATGTTGAAGAATGAAAGAAACTTGATTATTTTATTGTATAACATAAATAATGAAGAGAAACGAATATTTTTTGTCAATTTTTCGTTTGTACGAAGCAGAAATATGTGACAGCAAGAAATGACAGATTTTCATCGCTTTATTTCAATTCTGTACCCAAATATAGAAGAAAAAATATATTATATTATGCTATGTCATTCATTCAGTATTTTGGTATTTGAGTTAGTTTTTAATGACAATCATTTAAGATTTTATCATCTGAAGTATGAATACGACATACATGGAAAAAATTTATCATATGAAGATAATCTGTTTTTTTAGTGTTGAAAAATTAAACAAAATTCATTAAATATTGATTAAATTTATTATATTCTATAAGCTTCACAATAAAAAAATATTTCTCGTCGTTTTAAATTACATATCAATATTTTCATAAAAGATCAAAACAATATTTTTTGTCAATACCTAATGAATAAATAAAAGTTCGTTCTTCGATCTGTTCTATTCGAAAAAGTCTTGCCAAAAATTTGAACTCATTACATCCATCACCATATTTTTCAAACTCAAGATGTCAAATACTCTGCGACATGTATATAAAATGCGTTCGATAAGGATAAATGCATTCTATACTATTCAAATTCAAGTAGTACACATACAGGTGAAGTATATGTAAAACTCAATCAAACAGAATCAAAATACTTGTAAATGTGTGCGCAAACTCAAATGAAAAATTATATTCATCATAAAGCTTCTATTGATTTCAAATAGTCATTAGTATATTGATTATGTTTATGATAAGTTGATTTCAACCAAAAACTATATTCGATAAACATCTTTATTCTCTCTTATGGTTTTTTTCTTTCGATATTAATGAATCTTTCTCACTGTAAACATTGCTCTTCAGAAGGGTTAGCAATTTAGACTAGAATTCTGTGTTACTTGAAGTTTTCACACCTGCATTTAAGTTGAGAATCCAACAAAGCGTAATCAAAACTTTAATCGAATCAAGCAAATCTAGTTTAATTCATTAAAATGTCATAAAGAATATGGTACTTGGTATTAGAACCTTTCTAAAAATTATTGTTCGTTCATCCAATATTCTTAAAAAAATACTCTTCTATTTTCACTATGCAAACTGCTGCATTAATGACTGTACATATACAGGTGAATGTCGAGTTGTGACCTGATACTTTATTCACGAATAGTTCTCTCAGAGAAACTACAAAAATCCTAGAAATGTTTTTACGGATGTTTATCCCTTGTTCATTTAGAATCAGTTCATTTGAATACTAAAGTGTAACAGGATATGTGAAGGAAAAAAGACAATCGCCCTATTTCGATCTGTAGTTTTTCCTCATAAATAGGTGCAATGATGTGTAGAATATCCTAAAAGTTTAGCATGCATTTAAAAAATTTCATATACTTCGCAGAAGATGCGAAAATGTCATTTTTATTTTAAGAAAGCATTATCTTCTGATTAGCACATCTGTTCGAACAGAAATGTTTAGGACATTCTAAGTATCATTGCTTTTTTTTTCTCTGTAGTACATCCTACTGCCGCTTCATATCTCAATAAAACCACACTGACTTAGCAAGCAATAAACATCAGTATTAACGTTCTTAAAATTTTTCCCTGTTTCGATAACATCTGCGTTTAGACAAAGTCTCAGGTCAAACTTTGATCATCACTTGAATATGTACTCTCACAATTGGTTATAGTTTGAATCATGAAAGAATTTGGCAAACAATAGAAGACGACTCTGTCATTCAAAAGAGAATACATGTAAATGAAAAGTGAAGATGATTCGTAACGATAGAGTGCATTTAAAGATTGAAATTCTTTGTCGAAGCAGATGATCTTAGTGAATATTGAAGACACAGATTCTTGTTTTTTTTTGTTTCATGAAAATGAAATTGATGAATACAATTGTTTCGGTTGGAGACATTAATAAGCATGAAGCTTTTCTTTCTTTTTGTCTAGGAGAGTTTGCTTTACGGTAAATTAATTTGGAATAATAAAGATTGTGTTTTGAAAAATATGTTATCTTTGATTTCTATGGTCTATATGCCATGTTATTTCAGAATGATGGCATCAACATCTTTAGATCTTGATTACTATTAAATACGAACTCTCAACCATTTGCGCTCATTCTACATTCAAAATGTAAATTAAAATGAAATCAAGATTCATAGAAATATAGAAATTTTTTCAACTGTTGAAATTCATTAGTAACTTTTTCTTGGGTACTAGATACTGTCACTAAAAACAATTACTTTGGATAAAGTGAATGAATCTCATTAAACTTGCATTTAATTCATCTAGGATTCAGACTTTATTTGAAAATGTAGAAATACTTATTATGTAGATAAAAGAAGACGTGGAGTGTTTGAAAATATCTCACTTTTTGTCGAATGATGAATGTAGATATCGTTTCAAAACTTCGGGTAATGGTAATTGATTAATTTTTTTGGAATCAAATTCAAGTTGTGCACGAATGATTCGTTTTGCAATGAATTTCAATGACATTGTCAATTTATCTGTTCGTCGATATGAATATTTTTCAATCATATCAATCACGGTTTTCCAATAGTCATCTCTATTTCGAAAGTAGTGCGATTGAGCTGAAAAATTTCTAGGATTAGAAAATGAATCAGCATTAGTTTGATCGATTTTATCTACGACACGTTCAATCCATTTAGCAAGATTCATTGTTGGAACCCAGTTTTCACATTTTTCACAACAATGAGCTACCAATTCTTTGCCACAATATTGAATCTGTGGATGATAAATCTGTGTTAGAAATATTACTTCTGGCATTCGAAATGGATATTCATAAGGTAGTCGAAGTTGTATTTTGAATGAACCATATTTATATGGAAAAGCTCGAGGTAATATGTATCCATATATTAGGAATGGTTTACTCGAATCGTCATTATGGTAGCCAGAAGTTTCATAATGGAAGTATGATTTCACTTCCGGATCAGTAATCAATCGCCGCAGTTCCGATTGTATTCGACGGTTTACAGATGGTGAGATTGCCATTATAAAAACATCACATAAAAGCAACTAAAATGATTTATGCTTATTTGATCTAGAAGATCACAAGAAGCAGAATGATTCAATTAAACTACGTAATTCTATTTGAAATCGTACATAGTTATAAAGCTTTACTTTAATGTATAGTTATAAAAAAATCAGCTTAGTTGGATGTAGACAAAAAAGAAACCAAATTATTCACCCTGTCTGTTCAACGTTCGGTAGAAATCGAAAAGCACATATTAAATAGCACGAGAAAATTTAGTTCCTATGAATACTTGTATTCGCTTACTCTGATTGACATCGTAAGAAAAAGAAAATATTAACTTTTCTTTTGCAGTTTGTTGGCTTTTTCCGCTGTACTACTATGTACAATGTGCGACATGTGCAATAATCAGAAGAAGACGGCTTTAGATGTGACACTATAAAAATTTATTCGTTCTTTCTTTACTAAAGAAATTGACATAATTCTCTATCAACATTCACAATGAATCATACTTTATTCTGGTTTCCATGCAAATATAACTTTGTTATGTTGTTGGTTAGAGATCGAATCGAATTGTATTTCTTTATTAGACCATCATATTGCCTAAGTCGGCTATGGCGAGTGCTGCTAAACTCAAGTTCATTATATTGAATCACTAACTGTTTCGCTTAACGAATCTCACAATGTGCATAAGCGTTAACGTTGCCTGTCGTCTACGAATCGAACGTCAATATCAAGATAGAAATTTGTATTTTTACGATACAGATAATTAGAAAGTATCATCGATCTATACTTGAGACTTGATTAGTATTATTCTAAAGATTGTTATACAATGTTTGGGTTACGTTCGGCAAGCATCCACTGGCAAGTGACCAATACGAAATCGAATCATGTATGTCGAAGAATGCTAAACTTCATGCATCGATCATTTTTATGGATAGATTTGGATTCATTTTTCATCATCGTCAGATATCTCGAAATAAACATCAATCAATGAAGTGCAATTGATACTGGGTTATGACTAAATCTCATTATTTCATGCGTGTCTAAATGCTTCTTCACATATATTTTCTGATTTAGTAATTCGAAAAAGAAAAGTGAAGAAACAATGCAACAATATACAATTAGACATTTGACGATTGTGAATATTCTCCAAAAGAGAGTTTCATAACGACGATGACGTTTTCAACTGAACGAAAAAATTCAATCACTTAATGATTATACATGGGAATGAACATTTTTTCTCATCACTCGCTTTTGATGATAGTTGACGATACACCTCTTGAAAATACATGAAATTAGGACAGGATTTATGAGTTCCAATTCGAGAAACATCAAGATTAATTATCATTTGCTTAAGAGTGTGAATGTGTCAGTGAAAAGAAGATATACATTCACATTTATACTTGCATTATAACTAATTCTACTGACTTTCATGTTCAACTCAATACAGATTCGTTGAATCAAAATATCTCTACTTACTCTATGGATCATCGAACTTGTTCTCTCAATTATTTTCTAGAATAATTTATGTCAGTTTTGTTAGTGTTACCAGTAGCTGTGCAGGGTGTGGGTAAGTGTGAGTCTTCTCTTCACTCTAGCTGTCATCCATACCCCACATTCAGATCCATACTTTAACATTGCAATGCGCAAACAAACGCTTCGCTCCTTTGCACTGAAATGTTGACAAAAAAAAAAACAACGAAAAAAGAAAATAATAGTTGTACTTATAATAAATAAAAAAAGAAATTTTGTGTCCTTTTCTTGTCTTTTATGTTGACAATGGACTAAAAACCAATCTGAAACATTCACAAATTTTTTTTTTGAAATACATAGGGGGATCAAAAAGTTCTGAGAATTTAAAAAAGGAGTGTGTCGGATTTGGTGATCTATTTAGAATTAAAAAAACAAAACATGCCATGTTGTAGAGCAAGTCGAGGTGCGTCGAATAGTATATGACAAATCTTGTTCTCATAAGATTTCGATGAAACCAGACTGGATTTACTGGTAGGCGACCATCGAGTGAAAGCACTGACCATTGTGGGTCTTGGTATCCGTCGAAAGTGTTTGTAAAAATAATTTTCCTGTATACAGTTTTATAGCGCTTTTCACGGACTACAAGCTAATATACTCAGCATCTCCGATCGTACTGTTTTTGATAGGGGAAAATGCAACTTTTCAATGATCTACCATCATTTTCCACGAGTAGTGCCGATTGATGAGTCTCTGAATCCATGGGCGTCTACCAGTGAATCCAGTCTGATTCCCTCGAAATCTCATGAAAACAAAATTTGTGATATATAATTGGACACGCCTCGACTTGTTCCACAACATGGTGTGTTTGGTTTTTTAATTCTGGATAGGTTACCAAACCCAGCATGATTCTTTTTAAAATTCTCAGAACGTGATTCCTCTAGTAAATTCAAAAAATTAAAAAATAATCCATGAACTTTTACTGTAGTGTCGAAAATTGAGTGATTTTACAAAATTCAAGGAAGCGATCACAATTATGACAATTTTTTTAGTTCTCTTTTCAATATATATGTTCTACTCGTATTGAAAAGATGAATAATTATATAAATAGGATAGAATCAAAGTTCTTTTTCAAACAGTTACTGCTGTTTTTCTCGTTGTACTAATTACCAAGCACGTGTGGTTTTCTACGATGTTGTCAATAACAACAGGTAAGAGTTGGTCTTTATATCACTATGGTGAACTGTGAATATTGATTGTGTTTTGTCTCTTATTGGGATACCTGTTTCAAACAGGAATTCGAGCTATGACCAATGATTTTTAAAAGTTCCTCATTGACGAAATCGAGAAACTTGTTCCTCGCATCAAATTCAAAAATTGGATGATTGATATAATTTCTTAATGTTCTAACATATTCTTTCAATATTTTGATTGACCAAAAAGAACTAGTCATCTGACATCTGTTCAATACTATTAGGGTAGTTGTTTGATTTTTGTTCAAGAAAAATCAAAGTATTAATGAAATCTAATCTAGAAAATAGGATGATGACATTAAATTTATTATACAAGTCAAGTGTGATTTTTTTTCTTTTCGCTGTTAGTGGAATCTTTCAAAAAGAAAACTTTTTTTTCTTACCATATATATATATCTTCTTCTGTCAATCAAGATAATCGATTCATTTTAAAACCAAATTGATACTGTTTCAAAAAAAGATCAAAACATTATCAACATTGATAAAAATAAGAAGAAATTCAATGTGCGTATATGGTGGTCGTGAAATTTTAAGGAAGTAGTCTAGCCAAACCAGAAGATATCAGAAATTTTTTTTATTGCACTATATTATTCACGTGGATGATGTCAAATGACGACTGTTGGGAATATTTTGTTCGTTCTTCAAGCAGGGGAAGTGAGTAATGCAACCTTGTTGCGATATACATGACATTGTATATATCGATATATTATAAATATGTATGTATATTATACTAGACAAACATTGTAAAGGTAGAAGATATTTCAATTGGTTAGAAGTTCATTGTATGATCTACAATTCATTTGGCTAATATATTCGCTTGCTGTTGTTCTCGGACATCGATTATCTTTCTCATTGTAAATAATGAAGTTCCTCGTGTTGTATGTTCTATTGGCTACCACTATTACTAGTAAGTCATCAAAAATGAAATGAAGCTATGACAACAGGGCGAACATCTTAAACGTATTCTTAGACAAAACAGCAGCTTTATACTTTTCAGTCATTTTCGATGATTTTAGCTAATTATAGAAACAATATGCAGAACACACATGTTTGTGTGAACGCGCATTTATTTGGAAAATTTCTCTTAAAAAATTTTTTTTTGCTTGGTTCTATACTACTAAATTATGAGTTCACTTAAACTTTCTGTTTTCGTCCCAATCGTTACTCTGATTTGACAGAAAGATATTCTGACCACTGCAAGTCACAATAACTATTTAGTATATTTGGCACCTCTGATCTGTTGCCCAGTAGAATATGTCACTTATGAACATTAAGAACTTATTAGCGTATGTTTCGAAAAACTATGAAAAAAATATCAAATCAATTGCCTATGAAAGTAAGCTTATTGCGGCTGCACATGGCCCTATAAAAGACTTTGAATGCTTTTGAAAACTTTCCCTTTGCTTTAGAGGAAAATTATTGAACAGATTCCCCGATCCAGTATCATATGTACTATCGAAAATAGAAAAATGACTTTCCACCTTTGATCTCTATTTATTGATCATATCGATTAAGAATATGTATTTGATATGCTACAAAATGATAAAATACGTAGGTCAAAACTATTTGAACTACACGGGGAAATAACTGAAAATAAAATAAAACGAGCATGTAAAATTCATTGTGAATTAGATTTTAAACCTAAACATAGGAGAGAAAAAAATTACGAGCAGAAACAAACTTGTTTGTTTACCGTTCAAGTTTTATCAAGTTCGTTTATGTCACATTTCTATTGCAGCATCTGAACAGGTTACAACATATGCGCGTCCTATGAATCATGTTGGTATATCCGTGACTGACATTGATGCTGTATTGGCTTGGTATCGTGACGTCCTTGGTTTTACAGTACTTGTCGCTCCAGTCGAGATTGTTGTCAACAATTCCACCTCGATGGGAAGTCTTCTCTCTCAGATGTATCCACCAGAAATGAAACGCGTTAAAATGGCTCACATTACTTCAGGCAATGGTGTTGGCTTGGAGCTTTTTCAATTTATTGATCCACCAACACGACGTCCGAACACGACCAGTTTTGAATATTCTCGTGCCGGATTATTTCACATTTGCGTGACAGATCCTGAACCTGAAATTTTGATTCGTAGAATTGTAGCCACAGGTGGCAAACAGCTAAGCCCTGTTTTAACAGTATTTTCTGGTGAGATCTATCAGGCAGTCTACTGTCTCGATCCATTTGGAAACGTTGTCGAAATTATGACTACTTCTTACGAGCGCTAGATGAGTAATCGAGACTCTAATATGACAAGTCAAGTTGTTCGTCCCACAATCACGTCTCGTTC